GAACGTTAAAGTTAGTTAATTAATATGTGACCCAAAACTTTCGCGAACCTTTACCAATTAAAAAATAATACTTTAGCAATAAGCATCCGAATTCTCTCCAATTCTTCACCAAAAGCAATACGTCTACTTCGGAGATCGTCAAAAGACTCATCACCATCAATTCCAAGTTTTGAATTCCGATAAGTTTCAAATTCCGCCGCAAAAATATCATGGTCAAACTTAACAGAAGGTGCAGAGGCTGCCCTCATCTCCAATTTTTTCTTATAACACGAGACGTACAATTGCCATTTTTCTTGATCACCAACACGCATATCATCATGAAGAGTTTGTTCGAGCTAAAATTAAATTTAAAAAATGATAGACAAAATGAATAATAAAAAATAACCGAAAAAATATTTAAAGAGACACGCTCGAAATATCCCGACCAAAACACAAGCCGCTTAATTAAATTTACCTCAACAAAATTCACTAGCCACTCCAAAACTGCCAGCATTGTAGGCCACATTGAAGGAGTCGTCATTGTTTGCATTGTACTGTTTTTTAGATTGTAAGGATAACCGAGTCCGTTCAATAATTTGACAACCTACAAATGTATTTAAATCCTTGAAGAAATTAAGAAATAGAAAAAACCTCTTCATTAAATTTTGGGTTTGGAATGCTTGCAAAATTTGGCTGGAAACAACGGAAAAGAAACTCGAAGACTTCTTTAAAATTATTCCTGTTCGGGACGCGTAAAAAGTCACGGTCATCAAATTTAAACGATGGAGAAGGTTGAATGCAATCTTCCAGAAAAGAAACAATTTTTCTGATCATATCATATTGAACTTCCTAAAATTAAATTTATAATAAACTTTATTAAAAAATAAAAATCTAAACCTTATCACGCAAATTTCGAGAGTCTGGTATTTTGCTAGCTCTCGGGATATTAATGAGCCGTCTTGCTCCGGTACCAGGGAAAGCACTTGGTCTAAAATTAGATGGAGCTCCTGAAGCTATGCTGTATCGAGCGTCGGGAGCCAAACTGATCCGTCCACCTCCTATAGTACTAAGCCGATTTCCATCAATACTAAATGAAAATTAATCATCATAAAAATAGTTAAATTGCTAGAAAGCTAAATAAAATAAATTTACCGAGAATGGTTGAAAGCAGGCCTTGAGCCTGTTTGCGGTGTTCTTTGCAAGTGCATGAAATACAATAAATTGCTTTAATAAAAATAATCTAAAATAATAATAAATAATTAGTTTTACAACGGATTTAATTTTAAGTTCAATTTAATATAAAAACTGGAATAGGCAATGAGTATTTATAGGGGTAAAAACAGGCGGGAATTAAGTATACGAGTTGATAAAGGAATGGCAAATGTTATGAGGGAATTATTTGAATGTAGGTTATTTAGAAACAAAGAAAGGCAAAGAAATATTTGAATATGATAAAGGAAAGGTTTAAGGAAAAGAGATTATTTTACAATCATAAGGTGGAAAATATTTGATTTATATGTTGGGGGAATAAGTTTAAAGTAAAAAGGTCAAAAACATTTAAAATAATATCGATAACAAAATATATTTAAATAAATGCTTCAAGCATATATGTACATCAGAAATCTAATCCGGCATGAGTGTTAAATACAAAATCCGGTTTCCGGGCCCAGAAAAATGATTTTTCCAGTCACTACTAATGAGACAAAATCATAAAATAAAAAAATAAAGCGGCATTTTATTTAAAAATAAATTTAAACTTTAATTTTTATTCTTCAGAATTTCGTTTCAAAACTTTATAGTCGGACATTTCAGTATAGCTGACTCAGAATTTAATAGAAAACTGAGATTTCTAGTTGTTGTGCTTATTTAATAAGTTTTGAATTTTTGCTGATTTCAATAAAATATTTAAAAATGATTAAAGCTATTCTAATTTTTAATAATCATGGAAAGCCAAGATTGCTTAAATTCTACACGAGATATGTTTGTTTGTTAATTTTCTTCAAATTTAAATAATAAATTTTAGACAGAAGATGAACAACAACAAATTGTTAGAGAAACATTCCAACAAGTTTCAAAAAGAGATGACAATGTTTGCAATTTTTTGGAGGGAGGGACTTTAATTGGTGGATCTGATTTTAAATTAATTTACAGGTTTTTTTTTAAATTTATTTTCTAATAAAATAATTTTTTAATAATTACATAGTTTATGTACTAACAATAAATCAAATTAAATTTAACTAAATTTTATTTAACCGAACTCGAGTTTATTCTATATAAAATTTTCTTTTCTATTAAGATTAAAGACCAATATAGTTATCAAAAAATCGTATGGGTACGTCCAAGTAGGCGCGCAGCCAAGTAGGCGCAAAGCCATAACTTGCTTCAAAATTTCTGAATCTTTTAAAATTTAGTATTAAACGTTTCACTCATCGAGCTAAAGAGAAAAAAACTAAAATTGTTAAGCTCTAGAAATTTTCCAGCTAGTTATGGCTTTGCGCCTACTTGGGCGTGTCCCAATTGTATCTAGGAGAACCCCTTTAACGAAAGTGATTTGCAAACAATTTTTATTATAATATCACAAAAACATATTTGTTAACAAGTTAAACTTATCAAAATTAAAATTATATTTTCTTAATTTTATTTGGACAATTTTTTAATTAAAAAAATTTTAATTTTAAGGCATTACGCGACTCTTTACTTTGTTTTTTGTGTTGACAGCTCTGAAAGTGAATTAGGAATTCTTGATTTGATTCAAGTTTTTGTAGAAACATTAGATAGATGTTTTGAAAATGTTTGTGAATTGGATATGATATTTCATGTTAACAAAGTAAAAAAATTTTTTTTTAATTTAAAAATAATTTTTTTGAAGGTTCACAATATTTTAAATGAAATTGTAATGGGTGGAATGGTTTTGGAGACAAATATGAATGAAATATTACTTAGAGTACAAGAACAGGATAAAATTGAGAAACAAGAGGTTTGTAATTAATTAAATTTTGAATTGGGTAATTTTTTAAATTAATTATTCCGACAGATTTGTATTTAAAATTTGATTTTATTTTAGAAATTTAAAAAATATTTTTATGTAAAAGGGTTATATTTGACTAATTCGGATTGGGATAATTATTGAGATTTTTTTTTATATTTTAAAAATTAAAAAAATTCTTTTTAAAAATTATTTTTAATTTTCTAAAAAAATTTCAGGCCGGAATTACTGCAGCACCAGCAAGAGCTGTCTCTGCTGTAAAAAATATGAACATTCCACAACAAATTAAAGATTTAAAATTGCCTGATTTACCGTCAAAGATTGCCGCTTTTAAAAACCCTTTTTAATTTTTTTTAAATTTTTTAAATGAATTTTGCTTTATTTTTTTAAATATTTTGGCATTACACGCAATATTTTGGGATAACAACATTGAGCTTTTTTGAAGAAAAAATGACCTCCTTGCGTACAAAGTCAATATTTTTGTATTTTAATAATTTTAATTAACAAAATAAATATTCTTTTTTTAGCTGATTAAATTTAGGAAAATAATTTGGTTCCTTTTTACCGATTTTCAGTCTTGGAATGGCGACCTCTACCCGTAGTAGCCGTCCGAAAACAGTTATTCCTGAAAAAATTCATTTGCTCGTAATCTTGTTCAAAAGGCATCAAATCAAGCTGATTTGCTGATTTTGGTACTATTCTACTCAGCTCGTGCTCTTTCTGTTGATATATAAATTGTCTAATCTAAAATCCCTCAGTATAAGTGAATAGTTCTAATGATTTTTGTTTTGATTAAAATTAAATATTAAATAGGTAAATGTTTAAAGTTTATCTTCGAATGTTCTTATTTTATTGGTTTTTCGAATTTAAAAGTTTCTCCTTTTTAATCAAGTTCCAATCATATTTGACCTTGTCTAATTTGCCTTTACACATTTCTTTCCTTTTATCATTTTCCAAAGATTCATAATTCCCAGTTTTGTTTTTTTCATCTTTCCGCTCTCATTATTCCCTATAAATACCTACACGTATTTCTACATTTTCAGTTTTCTTCAGAGTCTCATTTTTTATTCTGATTGAATTGCCGCCATTCTATTTTTCAATACCTTAAAAATTGTTATTCAATTGAAGGGGACATTCAAATAGAGGAGATCATTTTCTTTTTAATAGGTTAGAAATTGAGATTAGGATTGTTAACATTAAGATGGGAAATTCCCCCTAATTATTCTAATCCACGACATCTTCACCAAATCCTTTTAGTCTCTCGATATCCCTCTCAAATTCCCTGATATCCCTCTTAATTGCTTTTTTCTGACTCTGACTTGCTCGAAAATATCAGGATTATCCGTTTTAAAAGAATTATTAAACTTGGTAAATTTAATTAGAATAAATACAGTATATTAAAATATCCTCAATATACATTTTGAAAGTTTAAAGTCATTTTATAAGAATCGAGTACACATTCAAACATAGTATAGTAAATAATAATCTAAACTCAACACATCAATCTCCCTTGAAGATTATTATCATTTTATATTTATGCAAATATTTTCCCAACATTCCCCATCATTTATTTTATCTTTATCTACATTTATAGTACATACATATAACAAATAAATATTTTTGACCTTCCCGCCTATATAGAACAGTCCACCTAAAAATACATATATTAGTTATTTATTATAAATAAAATTATAAATCTGTACATATTAATCTAAAATTTTATTCAAATACATAAAAAGGTTTTTATGTTTATAGGGAAATTTTTTAAATAAATTTTTTTGAATTTTTTTTGAATATGAGTTATTATTAGACAAGAAATTACGTCTATCCAGTAATTATTTGCATATAAAATTTATACGAATTGCGAATTTGCAAAAATAAAATAAAAATTAAAAAAAATTTATTAAACAAATAAATTTTAAAAAAATTAAAATAAATTTCCTTTTTTTATTTTTATTCCAGACTTGGGTTTTAAAAAATATTTAATATTATTTAAATTAATTAAATTTAAACTTGGATTAATTATAAAATAAAAATGTTAAGTAATTTATTTTTAATTTCTTTTACAATTTTTCTTTTAAATAATTTTGTTTTATCTGTTGATGAAGTCGAAAAAATAGAATTAAAACGTTTAGAATTACCTGAAGAAAAATTAACTGCAGTAAGTAAATTTTTAATTAAAAATATTTTTAATTAATTAAAAATAGCCAGAAATAATTAAATATTATGGATATAAATGTGAAATACATAAAGTTACAACAAAAGATGGATATATTTTGGAAATGCACAGAATTCCTTTTGGACGTAATTTTAATGAAAATGAAGAGAATTTAAAGCAGAAAAAGCCTGTAGTATATCTACAACATGGATTGTTAGCATCTAGTTTTGATTGGGTAAATTTGTAGATTCTTCGTCTGATATTTTGTTAATAAATGGAATTCCATTTGAACAACAAAATATTTTTTGGCCCCATATTCGTTCATAAATAATTTTCCATAATTTTCCACAATTTTTCAAAATTTTTAACAATTTCTCAAATTTAAAGGTAGCAAATTTGCCCAATCAATCATTGGGATTTATTTTAGCAGATGCTGGATATGATGTTTGGATGGGAAATGTTAGAGGGAATGTCTACTCATCAAAACACGAAAAAAGCTTTTTAGGAAAAGATGAATACTGGAAATTTACGTAAATTTGTTTAAATAATTTATTTTTAATTACAAAAAATAGTTGGGATGAAATGGCATCAATTGATTTGCCTGCAATGGTAGACAAGGCTTTAGAAATTAGTGGACAGCCTAAATTATTTTATGTTGGCCACAGTCAGGGGACTTTAATTATGTTTGCACAACTGGCTAGTGACAATAAAGAATTTAAAAATAAAGTAGAATTTTGAAAATAATTAAAAAAAAATAAAATAATTTTCCAACAGATTATCAAATATTTTGCTTTAGCCCCCGTCGCTACTATTAAACACATGAAAGGCCTAATTTCTGTATCTGGCAATTTATTTGGAAAAAGTTTTGATCTTCTTAACAAGCATTTTGGTTCTCATGAATTTATGCCAAGTAATTGGGCATCCCAATTATTTGCCCAAATACTTTGTAGTCCAATTATGAGTAAATCAATTTGTGATAATATTATGTTTTTAATTGGTGGGACTGACAATTCTCAATTAAATGAAGTAAAAAATAAATTGTTAACTATTGAACTTAAAATCAAAAGTTAAAATCAAGACCCGAAAAACCCCGACCTTTCGGCTAATAACCAGCAACTTTTATGAAAAAACTACATATAAAAATAATTTCTCACTATGAAAAATTGAAAGTAAATTTTAAAAGGAACAATTAAGTAAATAAATCGTTAAATTCATCAAATTTAAATTTATCAAATAAATTTATCTAATTAACATAGGTATATAAATATTCCTTTTAAAGACTCGTATTGTTGTTTATACAAAACATGAACCTGCAGGGACTTCAACAAGAAATATTGCTCATTGGGTAAAATAAAAATTCAAAATTAAAATATACACTTTTAAAAATAGACACAAATGCAACAAACGGGGCTTGTCCAGAAATTTGATTATGGAACGGAAAAGGAAAATAAATTAATTTATGGACAAGTATTTGTAAATTAATTTAAAAATATTTTTTTTTTTTAGAACAAACCTCCAATTTATAATTTAACAAATATAAATTCAGTACCTATTTATTTATATTATAGTGATTCTGATTGGTTAGCAACAAATAAAGATGTTGAGGTAAAAAATAAATTTAGACAATAATTATTTTTATTTTTTTTAAAGGAAACAATAATTAAACAAATTCCAAAAGAAAATATTAAAGCAAAGAAATTACCCAATTTTAATCATTTTGATTTTATTTGGGGTATGAATGCACCAGAGAAAATTTATAAAGAAATGATTGAAGAAATTAAAGGAAATTGAATTAAAAATTAATAATTGAATTTTAATTGTTTTTAATTAATTAATTAATAATTATTTTTTAAATTGGATTTTTTCAAAATTAATTAATAAAAATAATTTTCAAAATTTAATTTTTAATTTTTGCCCCCATTTCCTTTTAATATTAAAAAAATTAATTTCCGATCGTTCTCTTAAACGGTAAATCTCCTCCTCTATTTCCATCTTCTCGCGCAACCATAAAAATGTCTCATCACAATTTCTTCGTTCAACGTCTTCAATTAATTAAATAAATAAATATATTTGTTCAATATACATACATATATTATCAAAATATTTATTTATTTATTAATCGTGTTCCTTTTGGCTTTTAAAAATTTTTTTATTAAAGAGAAAAATTTTCTTTTAATTTTTAAAAGACAACATTTTTCAAAAATATTATTTAATAAAAATTAAATTGAATTTGGGAAATACTTAAAATGCGTTTTGTACATTATAGTGCCAAAATGTTTATTTTATAAAGAAAATTTAAAAAATTTTTCACGCAGTTTTGCTTATCGGCATTTTACTCATCAAAGCTAACTACAAAAATTTTCAAACGAAATGGAGACTTTTCCTTTAATTATTTCGAAAAAACGTGATATCTTGTAACGTAGTGTTCGTACATATTAAAAAATTAAAAGAATTTATGGGTGTCACCCCTATTTAAAAAAAAATGTCTCATCATCTTTTGTTTAAAGTTTAATTAAAAAAAGTGTTTAAATTTCATAAGAAAATAAATTTGGCGAATTAAACAACGTATTTATTTTTATTTATCTTTTTATTTATTTTGATCAAAACTATTTATTTAATCAATTTTATTAAATATTTTTTATGATTAATTTAAAAATTATAAGTAATTATTTAAAAAAATCTAAAACTTAAAATTTCAGTTAATTAATTTAAAAGAAGAAATTCAACAAATCCTTTAATGGAAGCAGCAATTTATTATTTATTTAATTATATCTTTTCCTATAAAAATTTTTTATTTCTTTTGAAAATTTTAATTGTAAGAATATCTTTTTTAAAAAATTAAATTAAAAAAAACAAAATTATATAAAAATATATTTTCAATCAAAAATTATTTTAACTATTTTCCTTTTCCCTTCCAGATTTCAGTTATTCTCCCCTCCCACACATTTTCATGTCCAACTTGTCCACCCTTCGATTGGTCCCCTCCATTAGAAGGACGTTCACGTGGAGAAGGAATTATTGGGACAGATGGAAGTAATAGAATTGGAAGAAATATGGGAATGAAAATGAGTGGAAGTAGTATGCAAATGAATGCAAATACTTGGTCTACAGAATGGACAATGCAGCCATGGAGTTGGAGTGTTGGACCTGAAGTGTGTGGAAAAAATAATTATTTTAAATTCGAATTTAAAATTAAAATTATTTTTATTAAATTGTAAAGGTAACTTCACCTATATTTACATCAACATTACCTCCAATAATCAAATCTGGACAACAACATGTAGAAGGAGGTAGAAGACCAAATATTGGTAAAAAATATTTTTTAGGTTTTTAATTAATTAATTTAGACAGAATAAAAGAAATATTTTGTGCTCGTCATCCAAATAATCCTAAATGTCAAGGAGTATGTTACATAATTAATTAATTAAATATTTATTAAAATATTCTTTAAACTTAAATTAATTTAAAATAATTTTTTAAGAGGCCAGAATCTCCTATTCAAAATTTAATCCCCCAAACAACACCTACTCAACCTCAAATTCCAATTGAAGAACCAAAAACAAAACCAATGCCTTTTGGCTATTTGGATGCTGAAGCTCGTGATGCAATTATTGTATTAAATTTAATCTATTTAAAAATTCCTCTTTTAAAAGAAAAATTGTAAAAGTGGAATTGTTGACTGTAAATCCCAACCATTTGGAATGGAACAAAAGAGAAATATGGTTATTCAACATGAAATGGATTTTGCTAGAAAACAATATTCTTCTTCTTCCTCTTATTTATCCCCTGGATTAATATCAAAAAGAATTGATTTAATACAGGAATTAAAATTAAAAATGATTAAAGTTGCTGGACTTGGAGAATATGTATTTAATTTTAAATAAATCAATTTAAAAATTTTCTAATTTTTTCCGGAGTGTATTTACAAATTCCTCCAAAATTAAAAAAAGATTAACTTAATATGTAAGAAAATAAAAAATATTAATTTAAAAAATATTAGGTTAGAGAGCACAGAGTAGGTTACTCTTCTCATGTCAATACATTTGACTTTTAGGTATAAGTTGGTTGTGTCTATTTGAGTAATGATTATGTTAATCTACTAATTATCTAATCAAAAACCTCTCAAATTTCCAAGTTAAGTAAAGGGGGGTTTAGTAAAAAATTTCATTAATATTCTAATTTATATTTAAATTAAATTTACAAATATTTAAAAAGAATTATTTTCCTTATAAAAAGGTAACTCCAGTAAATGATGGAACATTTGAACATGACGTTTTATTAACAGAAAGTCAAGCACAAAATTTAATAAATGCTTTAGATCAAACTCCATATCCTTCAAATAAAAAATATGGGTATGGACATGGAAGGAGTCAACGTTCTTCGTTATTTCTTGATCAATTACAAACACAAAGATGGCCTATTGGGGAATCTATTAAATATTTTATTGATGCAAATATCGGTAGGAAATATACAATAAATTTTTTTAATAGCCCCCTAAGGCTTTGGGGTTAAATCATCCTTTAGAGGGAAGCTTTACTTCAATTGGGGTGCCTTATTTAAAAATCTATTTTGCAAATTAATATTTTTAAAAATTTATCTTTTTACAGAACAGAACGAGCGAGATATGTGTAAGAAAAACTTTTTTTAAATTTAATAATTATTACTTTAAAAAATATTTGTTTTTCTTAATTTAATTTGATAATATTTAAAGTACATCAAGCACATCAACTTATTCAGGTTTTAAAAAAATATAAAGAATATACATAATTAAAAATAAAAATATTTTTTTTTCAAATAAATAAAATATTCTGAACAGGTTTTTAGGCTTCGACTTGTATTCGATTTGAACAAGTTAATGAAAAACCTCAAACCGATTATTTACATTATGTTAAAGTATCAACACCGACATTGTAATAATTAAATAAATAATTTTAAAAATTTTTTTGTTAAAGTTGTGGACTTTCTTATATTGGACGTGTAACACCTGCAAATCCAATATATTTGTCTTTTCAATGTCAAGATGTTTGGATTTTAATATTTAAATAAATTAAATTTATTAACATCACTAATTCTCTCATAATTTAAAAATTATTTTGAACATTTTTTGATTTAAAAAATTCTCCCTGAGGGGGGCTGTCAAAAGTTTTTATTTTAGTAAATACCTAGTACATTACAGTTTTATTTAAATATTTTTTAATAAAAATATTTTTAATTAATAGCCAATTGGTGTAGCTGCTCACGAAACAATGCATGCATTAGGTGCTAATCACGAACATTTAAGAAGGTTTTTAAATAAAAAAATTATAGAAATTATTTTAAAATCTTTAAAGTGATCGTGATGAATATATAAATATTCAATGGGAAAATATAAATCCCCAATTTTATGATTTTTTTGCAATTGCAGATCCAAGCAAATTTACTCCGTTAGTTTTTTAAAAAATATTTTTAAATAAAAATTATTTTTTAAAAAAAGTTTTGGTGTAATTTACTCTTTTGATTCAATAATGCATTACGGGGCATCTACAGCTTCTTTAAATCAAAAACCAACAATGGTACCCAAAATTGATCCACAAATAAATACTCCAAAAATGGGGCAAAGACAAAGACTCTCTGTACAAGATATTGAATTGTTGAATAAAATGTATTGCAAACAATCAGGTAATTTGAAGAATTGAACGTCTATTTATAACAGGGAAAAAGTGTAGTAATATTTTTAAAAAATATTCTAAGAAAAAATAATTAAATGAACGAGAGTATGAAGGGATACTAATAGATTAATGTTGTTGGTCCGGCCGGACAAATTCACCGCTCATTTTTTAAGAGCGATTAAGCTTAAGAGCGATTAAGCTCCGCCGATCAGGCATAAATATAATAATAATATTGTTCACTTGACTAACTGACTAATAGACTGGTCGTTTCTTTCACTTATTTTTTGGATTATATTGTGTATGGATAGGGGGGGGGTCGCTGGAAAAGTTTTATTTGTATTTCACAATTCTATTCCCGCCTTAAATTACATATGTTTTAAATGAAGGAAAACTTTTATTTTCTTCAAAGATTGTTTTGACACATCAGTTTATTGTGGAGTTTGGGCTCTTAGAGGATTTTGCTCAGTTTATCCACAATATGGTTGGATGCAACAAAATTGTTTAAAATCTTGCAATAATTGTTAAAAATTGTTTTATTTTTTAAATAAATTTTTTAAATTTAATTTTTTAATTTTAATTAAATTCTCTCAATTAAATACAAACAAATAATTTAAAATTATTTTTTATTTAATTTCTCTTCCATTTTTATTAATAACAGGTAAAGGTGGTGGAGGCGTTAAATCTGAACGTCTAGGTTTCCAACCACTTAAATGTTGACATTTATCATATATTGTAATATCCTCTTCTTCATTTTCTTCTTCTATTTTTGAATTTCCAAAACGATTTATTCTTTTTGGTATTTTCCTTGTAATAATTTTGCCAGAACAAGAAAATTCTTTAAAATTGAAAAAAAATTATAAAAAATTTTTTTTAAGAAATGTAAGGTATAAGAATAATAATTTTTTAAATCTTAAGCCAAATAATAGTTAAATTATAATTATTTTAAAAAATAATATTACTTTTATTTATCTGTACTTCTCTTTCAATTAAATTTTGCTTAATTTTTCTTTTTAAATAAATGAAAAATATTAATTCTGTTAATTTTTCTAAGAAAATTAAAAAGAAAATTAATAAATTATTTATTTGAAAGTTTGAATTTGTTGTGTTAATTTGACATAATGATTGAAGGGGGAAATTTAAATAATAATTATTTTGACATTCTAAATAAATAAATTTTATTTAAAATATAATTTAAAAAATAACCTCTTAAAATTATTTTTAAATAATTATTTTGTGTTATAATATTTGAATATCTTCTACATAATAATTGTGTAAAATATAAAAGAAAAATAATTAATGAAATAAACATTAAAGGTATCTGGTAAATTCAAAATCAATTAAATATTTTAATTAAAAAAACTTTTAAAAGAATTGTTGGCCAAAACAAAATTGGACAATTCCAAATAATTCCAATAAAAGTACAGACAATTCCAATTAAATAAGTTAAAGTAAATGGCCATAATTGTAAAAGAATATTTAAAAAATTAGGTAAATAAATACAAAGAATAATTGTGTAGATTAAATTAAATAAAAGTAGAGAAATACCTATAGACTTTAAATAAATCGGTAATTAATTAAAAATTTTTAATTTGTGAAATTAAAAATATAATTTGCTAATTTAAATTTATTTATTTTTAAGTTATTAAATTAACAACTAACTGAATTCTAAAATTAATTTCGACATTTTTTTGAAAAAAATTTTAAAATAAAAATTTGGATTTATTAAATTGTTTTTAATATTTAATTTATTTTAAATTTTAAAATTATTTTCTAAAAAAATTGAAAAAAATAAAACCTTATAAATTGTTAACCGCTTTTTCCTTTTTCTTTTAATTTCAGTTAATTTATTAGAAGGATTAATTATAGATACTTTTTTCATTTAAAAATTTATTTAATTTAAAGAAATAAATTTTTGTTTAAAAAATAAATTTTTTCAATCAGTTAAAAATGCTTTTTAAAAATGTTGGATTTTTTGTTTTAAAAATTATTTCTTTAAATTATGCATTCAATCGAGGTTTTGTTTTGTGTTAAAATGTTTTTAAAATTTTTAGAAAGGAATGGAAATTTAAAATTTCAAGATTTAAAATATTTTTAGAATTTAAAAAAGAAATTAAATTTTTAATTAAAGATTTTTTTATTAACATTCATTTAATTGAGAAAAACGAAAAAAGACTGAACACAAAAATTTCTTCAAAATTCGAAATTTGACATTTCTAATATTTTTTAATTAAATATTTAATTATTAAGCAATATACTTGTTTGATAATTTTATATGTTTCTATTTAACTATATTTTAAGTTTATTTTGGTTTTATTTTTTTATTTTTAAAAATCGACAATAAAGACTTTTAAATTTTTAAATAGTAACTTACAAAAAATTATTTATTTTTAAATCCATTTTTGGCAATTATTTCCAAAAAATTATTTGAGAAAGATCTCGTTCCAATTTTTACAAAATTGAGTTTTATTATTTTTAGCAACTAAAAATTGTTTTTTATTTTTATTTATTATTTACATAATTTAGAGACTAATAATTCAGAGAATTATTTTTAAAGTAAATTTACTAAAAATAAATCATAACACAAATATTTTGTACAAACACTCTCATAAGGTAAAAACACAGTTGAGAGAATTCTTTTATTTTTGGCAAAACTAAAAAAATACTTTTATTTTTTATTTTCCCCGCCTAACAGAGAAATTAATTATTTAAATTTTGGTTTTTAAATTAAAAAATAGCCATATATAAAATAACTGGCACAGGCAGTTCAATTAAATTTAATCAAAAAAATTCAGGAATTTATTTATTTAAGTATTATCATTAATTCCCTTTACTATCCACTTTCAATATATTTTAAAAATATTTAATAAATAATTTCTTAAATAAAAATGCAGAAAATTATTTTAAATTTGTAAAAATTTTTTGAATCAAATTTAGTAATTAAAAATAATTAAAAATAAATTAAAAGCATTTTTTGTAAAATTTGAAATTAAAAATCATACCCAGTGAATGAAAATTCAAAAAGTTTTTTCAATTAATTTATTTATTAAAAACAATATTTTTCAAAATAAAAGTTAGAATTCAATTAATTTTTTTTAATTTAATTTTTCAAATTAGAAATGAAATATTTATCATTTTTTAATTTATTTAATTATTTTAATATTTTTTTGAATTTAATTGGAATTTTAAATTGTTATGAAGAAGAAAATATTAAAAATAATAATAATCAATTTTTTGTTTTTCCAATTATGCAAAATAAAAATATTAAAAAATATTTTGAAAATAAAGGTTAATTAATTAATTAATTAATTAATTAATTTTTATTTAAAAATTAATTAATTAAAGCTTCAAATAATTTACAAATAAATTTACACAATTCCCGTCGTTGGGGAAATATATTAATTGGAACTAAAGGTTTTTTAAAATAAATTTTAAAATTAATTTTCTCAGCAAAAACTTTTCAATTGGGATTTAATTTACAATCCCCATATTTTTGGGTTATTGACTCTACAGCAAAAATTGATGAAAGTAAACTTAAACGACTAAAAGTTCGCTATAATAACAAGTAATTTTTTAATTAAATGAATAAATTTATTTATTTATATATATATATAAAAGTATTGGTAAAATTTAATCAAAAATTTAGAACTCTTTACAGAGTTGAGATAATGGGCTGAAAGTGTTACATGTCCGGGGTCAAATTTAAGGGGGCATATGGGAAAAATAAGGACGGAAAATTTTAGGAACCCCTTGGTACCTAAATAATAGAGGTACCGGGGATATCTCGGGACTGGGTACAGATACGCGTGTCGGACTAACGGGAGGGCACTTAAGCATCAATAGACAATGTCGATTGCAAAAAACCCGAAGTCGAAATTCGAAGTTAAAGGGTACTTATGCGTGAGCAAAGAATCAGACATTTCCGGTGAATTGTCGGGTGTGTCGGTATTTAAAATTCGAGTTTTTCGAAAATAACTCGAAAACGGATAAAGATATCGAAAAACTTCTGCTGGTAGGATTTTAAGTTGGGATATGTAGATATAGGTAGGAAAAATTTCAAAGTCGAAATTCGAACTTGGGGGTACTTATAGGGGGGCAAAAATTTTTGTAAGAAAATTGTCTTACCGATAATTGTCGGATTTCTCTAAATTGAGGAAAGCCAGGGGGCAAATCTCATAGGTGAGAGAGAAATTTTGATGGGCAGTTGAAATTTCGGCTTGAAAAAGTGGGATTTCGAAACTTAAGCAAGTTTCGAGTTGAGGGAGGGATGAAGTAGGGGAAGTTGAGGGGGAATTCGAAATTAGGGATCCGGGATTTCGGGATTTTTAGGGATTTTCGAATATGGTCGAATGAGTAGTCATTCGAAAGCGGATAATGAGGGGAGTTGAATGGGATATATGGTAAAGCCGAAAGTCGAAGTTCAGAGTTCGAACTTCGAAATCCGGGTTTTTCGGGATTTGTGGATATGGGTGAGTGGGTATTCGTTCGAGAGCGGATAATGAGGGGAGTCTAAAGGGATAAGGGATAAGTATGAAAGTCGAAGTTCGGAGTTCGAACTTCGAAATCCGGGTTTTTCGGGGCTGGGGGATATGGGTGAGTGAGTAGTCATTCAAGAGCTGGGACTGAGGGGAGTCTAATGGGATAAAGGATTAAGCCTAAAGTCGAAGTTCGGAGTTCGAACTTCGAAATCCGGTATGTTCGGGGTTGGGATATATGGGTGTGTGGGTATTTGTTCAAGAGGGGATAATCAGGGGAGTCTAATGGGATAAAGGATAATGTCGAACGTCGAAGTTCGGAGTTCGAACTTCGAAATCCGGTATTTTCGGGATTGGGAAGTATGGGTAAAAGGGTAGTCATTCAAGAGGGGATGTTCAGGGGAGTTTAATGGGATAAAGGATAATGTCGAAAGTCGAAGTTCGGAGTTCGAACTTCGAAATCCGGTATTTTAGGGAGTTGCGGATATAGGCAAGTGGGTAGTCATTCAAGAGCTGGGACTGAGGGGAGTCTAATGGGATAAGGGATTAAGCCTAAAGTCGAAGTTCGGAGTTCGAACTTCGAAATCCGGTATTTTCGGGATTGGGAAGTGGGGTCGAATGAGTACTCATTCAAGAGGGGATAATGAGGGGAGCTTAGTGGGATAAAGGTTCAAGCCGAAAGTCGAAGTTCGGAGTTCGAACTTCGAAATCAGGGATTTTCGGGATTGTGAAGTACGGTCGAATGAGTAATCATTCAAGAGCAAATAATGAGGGGAGCTTAGTGGGATATAGGATAATGTCGAAAGTCGAAGTTCGGAGTTCGAACTTCGAAATCCGGGATTTTCGGGGTTTGGGGATATTCGCAAGTAGGTAGTCATTCAAGAGGGGATTATCAGGGGAGTCTAATGGGATAAAAGATAAAGTCTAAATTCGAAGTTTCGCGTTCGAACTTCGAAATCCGGGATTTACGAGGTTGGGGGATATGGGTGAGTGGGTAGTTATTCAAGAGCTGGGACTGAGGGGAGTCTAATGGGATAAGGGATTAAGCCTAAAGTCGAAGTTCGGAGTTCGAACTTCAAAATCCGGTATTTTCGGGATTGGGAAGCATGGTCGAATGAGTACTCATTCAAGAGGGGATAATGAGGGGAGCTTAGTGGGATAAAGGTTCAAGCCGAAAGTCGAAGTTCGGAGTTCGAACTTCGAAATCAGGGATTTTCGGGATTGTGAAGTACGGTCGAATGAGTAATCATTCAAGAGCAAATAATGAGGGGAGCTTAGTGGCTCCGAAAAAGGTATAATATGTCGGGGGTCTGTTTGAGTCTGAAAAAGTTATGGCCAATGTTCGCAAATGTCGCGAAACTTTTTTGGACTATAACTTTTTTGAAAAATTTTTTAGAATTTTTCTGACACCGGATATGGATTCAGCGCATATCATTGCACCATATAGGATATTTTTGGGTCAAAATTTGAATATTTTTGGGTCAAAATTTGAAAATTTTTGACCCTTCGAATTTTTCAAAAGGGGTACCCCTTTTGGGGGATTTGAGGGATTTTTTAGGGGATCATAACTTTTTGTGGGATTATCGGAATGTTATGAGGTTTGATTTATAAAATAGAGTCCGAAGGCCCGAGCTGACACCCATCTAAAAGGAATGGCGAGGGCCGAAGGCCCGAGCTGACACCCAACTAAAAGGAATGGCGAGGGCCGAAGGCCCGAGCTGACACCCATCTAAAAGGAAGGGCGAGGGCCGAAGGCCGGAAATGACTCTAATTGAAAAATGAGTCCAATCGAAAGGAAGACGAGGGCCGAAGGCCCGAAGTGATTCTAAGTGTAAGGATGAGTCCAATCGAGGGAAAATAAGGGGCAGACGAGGGCCGAAGGCCCGAAGTGACTCTAAGTGGAAGGATGAGTCCAATCGAGGCAAAATGAGGGGAAGACGAGGGCCGAAGCCCCGAAGTGACTCTAAGTGGAAGGATGAATCCAATCGAAAGAAAATGAGGGGAAGACGAGCCCCGAAGTGTTTCTAAATGGAAGGATGAGTCCCAACGGTGGGAAGACGAGGGCCAAAGTCCCGAAGTGACTCTAAGTGGAAGGATAAGTCTCAACTGAAGTCTAATCTTTTCTTCCAGGCATAAAAAATCGCTAGCGGCGCGCGAAGCGCGCCCCCAAAGCCGTTAGGCTTTCCAACGGGCAGAGCAAAATTTAAAACTAAAGTGTCGTAACCAAATGCTCCCAGCTATCCGCCGCCATCAGTGGTAAACCCATCGCTAGTTCATATATTCCTATAAAAGTATTGGTTTTTCTGGGGTGGACGCCAATCATTTTGGGGGGAAATGGATAAAAAAACTCAGATCTGATTAAGGTTTGCTCGTGAATTTTTTTGAGTTGTACATTAGTCCTACAACTTTTTATGGCGCATCTAGGAAAATTATGTCGAATTGTGTGAGGTGCCCCCCTGGTACCTAAATAATATAGGTACCGGGGCTATCTTTTTAATGAGTGGAGTTAGCGGAAAATTTCTGCTGGTAGGAAATTAAGTTAGAGCAAGCTAATATATGTAGGAAAAAACTCGAAGTCGAAATTCGAATTTGAAGGGTACTTATTGGGGGGCAAAAATTCGGACTTCGGTAAAATAACCCCCCTGTCGGTAAAGTCGGAATTTTCGAAACTCATCGACAATTCACGTGTAATATGTCAAATGAAAGCTCTCAGTGAGCTGAGTTCGGGGAATTTTAGTTCAATTTTTTCGGACCACATTGGACCAAGTTACAGTAATTTAAAGGTTCAAAATTAGGGCTTGTAAAATTTGGAAGGATGGCTCCAATCGCGAAAAGTGAATTGAAACCCGTTTTCGATATCCTATGTTATAGAGCGTCCCCTGGCGGTCCGAAAAAGGTATAATATGTCGAAGGTCCGTTTGAGTCTGAAAAAGTTATGGCCAATGTTCGCAAATGTCGCGAAACTTTTTTTGGCTATAACTTTTTTGCAAAATTTTTTAGAATTTTTCTGAGACCGGAAATGGATTCAGCGGGTGTCAGAGTACCATATAGGATATTTTTTGGGCCAATATTTGAAAATTTTGTCCTAACCCCGTTCAAAATGGCCCGATGTAAAATAGGGAAGGATGGCTCCAATTCTCAAAATTTGTCGTTTCGGATTTTTTGATTTCCGATGTTGTAGAGCTTACTTTGGCGGTTCGAAAAAGGTATAATATGTCGGGGGTCCGGTTGAGTCTGAAAAAGTTATAGCCAATGTTCGCAAATGTCGCAAAACTTTTTTGGACTATAACTTTTGTGAAAAATTTTTTAAAATTTTTCTGACACCGGATATCGATTCAGCGCATATTAATACACCATATAGGATATTTTTGGGTCAAAATTTGAAAATTTTTTACCCTTCGAATTTTTCAAAAGGGGTACCCCTTTTGCGGGATTTTAGGGATTTTTTAGAGGATCATAACTTTTTGTGGGATTAAGGAAATGCGATGGGTTTTCTTTTATAAAATATAGTTAAAAATTAGAAATTTTTTGAGCCGAAAAAATTTCGAAAAAATACGAAATTGGAGGTGTAGGGGTCGAATTTCGAAAAACCCTAAATTTTTCAGTTTTTCGAAATTTTTTCGATATTTTTGTCGGCGGTTCGGGCCGAAGGTATTTTTCATGGATAAAGCATATTTTTCTGCATATTATGGGATTTTAAAATTTTCAAAAAAGGTATTCTTTGGACGAGATATGATTTTTTGAAAATTTCAGTGATTTTTTTCAACCGAAATTCTCGGCCGAAAAATTATAATTTTAAAAATCAAAAAAGATACGGCAAATGAGATATCATTCGAAAGCTCTTATCGAGCTGGGTATAAAAATATTTTTTTCAAAATTTTTCGGTACATTTTGACGAATGTACAGAGGTTCGAAAATTGTTGGGTTGAGTACCGTACCTGGAGAATGATGGGAGGGAGAGAGGAAAAATGATTGACAGGTGAAGTTGATGGCAGAGAGGCGAAATTTTTCTCCGTCTCTGACCATGCGGGCAACCTGTAGAAGAGTTTAACGGTTAGTTTTGTATAAGGGGGAAAATATTGTGGGGGGATAAGCTGGATCCTGTTATGGATATGAAGCAAATTTGCTTCGTGAAGCAAATTTTGCTTCCAAATTTTTTTCGATTTCGAATTTTGCTTTTTAAAGCAAAATTTCGATACTCTAAGCAAATGCTTCAACTTTTCCAATTCGAAAATTTGAGTAAAATTGCTTCAACTTGTGAAGTTTCGAATGTTGAAGTAATTTAAATTTATTACTTTTGTTTTGAATTTTTCTACAATAAATTTTTTTAATAATATTTTTTCTTATTTTTAGCTTTTAAGTACTTTTACGGCTTTTTGGCCTTTCAAAATTCTCTTAAAATTTATTGGTTTTCCGGACGAATTATTGGGGTTTCCGGACATTTATTAGTTTTCCGGACAGGCTCGAGGAGGTAGTGATGAGAAATAACGAGATCGTTCTCTTTGAGGCCGATCATCGGAATCTCTTGACCTAACGGTTAAAAAGTTATGATTGATAAAGTGCCGAATATAGACAATGAATATAGACAATGAAAAAGTGATAGGGCCTTCCAAAATCCTAAAAAATTAAAATACAAACGCGGGACTCTAAATTCGAACTAAAATATTTAAATTTTTATTTTAATTTCTATGTAGTATGCCACAAAATTTACTTCACGGGCATCTTGTGTTTCTTCCCCGTGGAAATTTTCCCATCTAGTCGTTCGTTAACAAAACAAAATTTTCTGTTTCCTAATCCTTTCTATTTACTTTTTAGGTCATTTCTTATTTTTATATTTTAAAATAATTGTAAATATTTACATATACATATTCTTTTTTAAAACTATTTTTTCGTAACATCATTTTGGGTGAGGGTCAACTCAAGGAATTCCAAATCACGGAATCTTCTATTTTTCTAATTACCACCCTTTTTTCATGTTTATCTGACTATTGTTAGTTTTTTCGGTACTTTGTACCCTTTCCTGTCTCAATATGCTAAAATTTCCATCTTAAAATTTTCTTTAGTAAAAATATTTTTTATACCGGCTCAGTTCAGTCCCGAACCCTATAACTTTTAAAGGGACAGATCAGTTTTAGTCTACCAAACCTACCACCAAACCTCTACCAAACCTACCATGGCCAAAAATTTTCGTTTTTTCGTGTTGGGGATTATAAGAGATATCGAAAGTTTGGAGATTAATGAGTAAATCGGCAAATTGGCTGGATTTGGGAGATCTGGATATGGGCGACAATGGGCATTGGATGAAATAAGCGAATGTCGATGGATTTAGAATGATATCGGGGATTTGGATGGATAGTATCATTCTACAATGATACAAACACAATCATTGGATCCAACACCTTCCAATTATTATCAAAATATTCAACATTCACAAACATTCCAACAAAGAATTATTGGGAATGGTGGTGGGGGAATACATAATCAACAACAGGTTTGGATTTGGGGGAAGGAGGTCCAACAATAAAGTAGGGGGGGGGGGGGGGTTATCTTCGTCCTATTTTGCTTAAGGAAAAATAATATTTTTGGAAACAAAATTTCACCATTTCAACTTTTAGGTAAATTTTAAATCTGTTAAGAACATTTCCTTCGCTTCTTGTGGATTAAAGGACATTGTCCATAAATACTTACATTTAATAAGAAATAAAAGGCTAGGAAAGAAGTCAATAAAATTAAACAATCATTATAAACAAAATAAAAATCTCCCAAATATTTCCAGCCTTCAACAGCTTCCCATCAATTTATTCAACCCAATTATGAAGCTCCCAATCACGGAGGATTTCCTTCTCATTTAGTTGATTTTTATGGAAATCCAAATTTAAATAATCACCAAATAATCCCTTTAAATGAAGAACAACAACCAACAAACGATATTCAAAATACTTCAACATTTTCAATGTCCTCCTCTAATAATAACCCTCCTCATTCCTCCTCCTCAAATAATTCTTTTATTGTAACTACACCCTCTACAATACCTAAACAAGTTAAAAAACGCGGTCCTAGTAAGTTTTTCTATTAAGAAAAAACTGGAAAAACTTCTTTTAACCTTTCAAAACATAAGGAGGGATGTCTTTACCAATCAAAACAATTAAATAGTAGTTAATGAGGGAGATCATCCTTAATATAAATAATGTCAGTTTATCGGAGTTAGAGGTAAAATCATATTAAGTTAGCTTGATTCTAAGAGAGTCCTTGAACTTAAAATTTATTTGAAAACCCCCTCTTCCCTCCCTCCCCTCCTTCCAATTAATTCTTTTAAATTCAAAAGGAGGTAAAAGAAATCAACAATTAAAACATAATAACATAACAAAATCCACCACCACAACAAATAATTACAATGAAAATTACCACTCAAAACAACCTCCTCCAATTGAACAATATAAATGGATGCAAGTAAAAAGAAATACAACAACAATAGCCACTTCCTCCTTCATTCAAGGAACTGTGGCAGGTTAAGCTTTTCTTTATTAAATACTTTATTTTTGCTTTTCCTGGGTCAACTTTGACACCTTTAATGAAGGAAAAGGCCATAAATAAATCAAAGAAAATAAAAAAAACTTTTTTTGGCATTAAAAGGGAGGGGGGTGATTTAGTTAAAATTTATTTTGGAACAAATGGCTATCGATAACGTCCAGATTTTTATTGTTTCTAATAGGGAAACGAGCGATTGGAAACTCCGTATTGAAATAATTATCTTTTGAAGGGTGTCTTTAAATTTAGAGAAAATCTCGAAGGGCCTCCTCTCTTTATTGGTAAAAACTTTAGAAATCCATTCCTTTTCCAAAAAAAGTTGTCTATATACCTCTAATACTTAAGTATTTTCAGCATTAAATGGACATTCAATAATAAACAAAGAGGCGATTAATAATAATAATTTAATAAACAATTCTTTAACAAATTCAACTTCTTTAATATCATCAATATCTCCATTGGGGGCACAAGAGAATGTAACTAATCGAACAAACTTTACTTAATTGGAAAAGGAATTTCATACAAACAAGTATTTAATTATTTAAATTTTTGGGAGAAATTTGGGAATAGAATTAGGAAAAAGATAAATTGTGTGAACCTTTTAAAAATACCAAAATTAAAAGTTGCTTCTTTTTACTCAGTCTTGATTGGAAAGGGGGAAAGGGAAGGAAGGGAGTTATTTAACTCTTCGAATTCTTTTCTATCAATTATTTCCTTTTAATATATTTTATAGATATCTAAACAAAAGTAGAAGGCCAGAAATTGCCGCAATGTTACAGCTACACGAATCTCAAATTAAAATTTGGTTTCAAAATAGGAGAATGAAGGTTTTGTATTGAATTAATTTAAATTAAAAAATAATTTTTTCGGTTCTATTTTCTCTTAATTAAAAATTTATAACCTTCTAATTATGTATCCTTATTCAAAACAAAAATTTTCTTTTCAAAAAAATTTTTTTTAAAGATGAAAAAACAACAGAAAGAAACAGCATTTTTACGTTCAACAAAATCCCTCTTAATCTCCAAATTGCCTCGATAACCACCATAATACTCCGAAGCTATTGTATCTCCCCTAATTTTACGATATACTTTGAAATCCCCGTTATCTCCCAAATTCAATGATCTCCCCAAAACAAGCCAATTTGCCGATTTACTCATTAATTTTTTCGGTTCTATTTTCTCTTAATTAAAAATTTTCAACTCTAGGAATTCCAAATCACGGAACAGATAAAACACGGAACAATAAGACATTTGAAACTTCTTTTTTTAATTCTGATTTTAAAAATATCCTGCTTTTACAATATTCTGTTTTTACAAATACACTCTGTAACAAAATGATAGGACCCCCTATTTTTTTTATCAATATCCTCTTTTCATTATAGATACATAATATCACTACCTATATTCTACCAAAATTTGAAACAAATCCATTCAATATTTGGTAGGGTATCGATAAAAAACTAGGGGGTCCTATCATTTTGTTACAGAGTGTATACTGATTTTAAAATAATCTGTTTTTAAAAATATTACTATTTAAACATTCTCTGATTTAAAAATTTGATTTTAACTTGTCGTTCCTTGCCTTGTCAGTTCCTTAAGTCAGCCCGACATAAATCCTTTAACTGTTTATTTATACTTATAGTAATTTCTTTTATATTTTTGTCATGTTTATTTTACACACTAAAAAAATTTGGGGATTTTTTCTTAAATATATTCTCGGGATTTTTATATATAATAAAAATTATATATATATTTTTATATATAATAAAAATCCCGAGAATATATAATAATCCCGAGAATATATAATATTATCTCGGGATTTTGTCTTAAATATAATATTTTTATTCTTATTTTTTTAAATTAGCAAAATATTGTTTAAAAATATTTAAATGCCTTCTAAAGAATATCTCGCAAAACAAAAAAGGAAACAACGTTATCAATGTAATCCAACATCAAAAAGCCCTTCTCAGGGCTCTGAACAGGATAATCCCGTTCTGATTGCGATGGAAGCTTGCATGGATAATGTTCCGGTATTTAAGATTTTTATTTGGGTTTTTAAACTAGGCTAGAAGTATTTTATAGATTAATTATTATACTTTCCCGTTATATGCCCACAAATACTTTGTATATATTTTAGCAGGTTTGAAAGCCTTTCAATTATATTTTTCTCTTCCTGTTGTTGATTTCCATGATCGAAATTTGGAAAAATTACCGTTTATTTTGGGGTCAAAAATTAGAGTATACAAATGATAGCTCATTCGAAAAAGCTAACCGATCTGAGTCGAACGAAACTAAACTCAGATTGAGTGATTTATTATTGATACAACATACTGAATCGTAGTAGGACAAAATTTGTTGGCATATAACAGAAAAGTAACAATATTGTTTATGGTAAACAATATTGTTTACGGTTTACGTATTAAGAAATTATAGTCGCACTTGTAATTAAAGTAGTTAGTATGTAATTCAAGTAGTTAACCCGCTGGGTCATATCTTGTCATAGCATTAAATAAGATTCATAATTTTTCTACCTTAACCTTTTGATTAATTAAAAATATAATATTTTTATCTACAGAACTTTGATCAAGCGGGATCTTCTTCTGGTAATGTTTTTAATATTTCCCAATTAGGGTTGAGTGTTTCTTCCTTGGGTGTTGGTCCCACACCATCTACAGATGATTCCCCTTTCCTGTCCTCGATGGGAGCTGCTCCATCCTCATCGACTAATGATTCACCTTTCTTGTCCTCAAGAACTATGATTCGAGGTTATTGTCCAAACAAGGTTTCTAGATTTGATGATTCGAACGTTAGTTGTCTTGAAAATGAGTCTGTATCCTCTCGTGATTCATCCGTTTGTAGTTCACGAAGAGTCGGTCGTCCAAAAAAGCCAAGTCGTAAAGGTATTGGAGGACGTAAAAAACAATCTGAATGTATTGAAATAGATATTGAAAACGAAAATGTAATTATTAATGATGAGCCAGTCATATTTTTAGCCCCTGATCCTCCAGATATGCCTGTTCGTCAATCTTTGCCTGTTCGTCAATCTGAACGGATTAAAAATCGTAAAGTGTCCATTACCCAAGTCCCCATTGTACAACCTATATTTTCTTCTAAACCAAATCCTATTACTGATAATAATAAATGTCTTAGTTCGCATGAAGGGTTTCCTTGTGCAGATACTAGATCTCGCCATACAGCTGAGTATTATGACTCTGGAGACATTGGTAAATTTGAATGTCATTATTGTAAAGCCCTACTATTAGAATCCGAAATTAATCAAAGTCATAAATCCAAGTTTAAAGTTATCACGTCTTCACTTTGTTGTAGCTGCGGAACAGTTACTCTTCCTTCGTATAATGAACACCCACCTGAATTAAAAGCTTTATTGAAAGGCGATACCAAAGTATCTAAAGAGTTCCTTTCAAACCAGAATACTTACAACACATTGTTAGCTTTCGCTTCAGTGTCCGTTGGCCATAAGGACTCATCTCATTACGGGAGTGTGTGCTTTATGCTAAACGGCGAATTTTCCCGACATATAAGTTCAATGAATTCTGGACATTTAACACCATCATTTTCCCAATTATATATCTTAGATGCGAATGAAGCACTTAATATAAGAACCCAAAATACACTATGTGGAGGAGATAGAGTTAATCCTCAAACCTTAAAAATTTTAGATTCTGTTTTAAGAAATATAAATCCATTTGCTAAGGTCTATAAAAATTTTCATTCCCAATATATGTCCGTTCTTGAAAAAGATGGACCAGATGCTGTCAGGAACTTTCGCCTTACTATCATAGAAGAAAGAGCTGCTCCTGCCATAATTAGAGGTAAAGGATTACATCCACGACAGGTTAATCTACCTCAAGAAAAAGCCATGTTTTCAGTTTGGACTGAGTCCTCTGAACCACCAAAAATTAAAGGCACTTATATAACTGATCTCCAAGGATGTTTATTTGAGGTCAAACCATATAATGCAACGGTTGATTCTCTTAGTTATCCCCTGCTTTTTCCATACGGAGATGATGGATATCATGAGAATATTCCATTTAACCCTAATAGTCCTAAGTATGCAAAGAAATCTACTAATAATTCTATAAATGATAATGAAGACATAGATAATGATAAAACCGATGATGAATTGGATATTGATATTGACCCTAAGAAAACCATTTCTTATAGAAAATATATTCGTTATCGACTTGCAATTCGTAAAACTGATTCGCCCCATAATATTTGGAGTGCAGGAGGTGGCTTAAGTCAGAAATTCGTACTAGATTACGCAGCTCGAATTGATGCTCAAGTGGCCGACTATTTGCGTCAACCCGAATTTAATCTCCTTAAAACGACAGCACCTGATGTTCTCGACCACATGAGAAGGGATGGTGATCTACAACCAAACAGTAAAATAGGCAGCGTTGTATTATTTCGCAAATATCATCCCGGAACCCGTCCATACTTTCAAGATATGTTTTATGATGCAACTACAATTATGGCCCGAACTCGTAGGCCTGGACTTGCATCTTTCATGTTTACATTTACTACCAATCCATACTGGCCCGAGATTTCCCGTAATTTTTTCCACAAAGGCCAAAAAATTGTTGACCGATTTGATATTGTATGCCGTGTATATGCAGATAAGTTGCGCAGACTCCACTTTCTTCTTGATAAAAAAAATATATTTGGTAAAATTCTCGGTTATGCCGAAAGTATGGAGTTTCAAAAAAGAATTGGTAGCCCTCATTTACACAGAGTTTTCTGTATTGATACTGAAGCAACACCAGAAAATATTGATGGCCTAATTTGGGCACACATTCCAGAAAAGCCCGCTGATTCCGATAAATCTGCATGGGCAAATTTTATTAGAAAAATTCTAGAACTTTTACCCAAGTTCCAGATACATGATTGTGGTGAGCACTGCAAAGGCAGTAATGGACGTTGCTTAAAAGGATTTCCCAAACCTTATAGCCGCACGACCATTCT